TGTGGTTTAGGGTTTAGGGTTTGTGGTTTAGGGTTTAGGGTTTAGGGTTTAGGGTTTAGGGTTTGTGACCTTCTTGAGCCTTTCGGGGTTTTTCATTTTCGTTTTTGTCTGCCAGGCCGCCCATCGTTCTCCTAAAAGCAAATTTTTTTCTTTAAGAAGAACAAACCTAAAAAAGATAAGAAGATAAACATATATATATATTTATATTTATTTATTTATATATTTATGTATATTTATATTTATATTTATTTATTTATCTAGTATATTTATTTATTTATTTTTATTAAGACAAGACAAAGACAAAAATATATATCTCTTCAGACAAAGGAGTTAAAACAAAATTAAAAAGAAGTAAAAAGAACAAAGAATAAATATAAAAAAAGTAAATAAAAAAATAATAAATATAAATAAATATAATTATAAACAAAACAAGGCAAAGCAAATATAAAACAACAAATAAATTAAATAAATAAATAAAACAAAAGAAATAAAATAAATAAAATAAATAAATAAACAAACCAAAGTGCATGCAAAGAACGAAACAAAGACAAAAATAACAAAATAAATAAATAAAATAAAATAAACAAATAAAACAAACAAATAAAATAAACAAAATAAATAAATAAAATAAAATAAATAAACAAACCAAAGCGCATGCAAGTAAGATAACAAAGACAAAAAGCGTGAAATAAATAAATAAAATAAAATAAACAAATAAAACAAACAAATAAAATATACAAAATAAACAAAATAAATAAATAAAATAAAATAAACAAATAAAGCAAACAAATAAAATAAACAAAATAAACAAAATAAATAAATAAAATAAAATAAATTAACAAACCAAAGCGCATGCAGATCCTCAAAAGACTTCGCCCGGAGAAGCCGCGCAGGCCAGGCGTCGCCTGTCTGAGAAATTTGCTGTTTTGCTGCAGCAGATAAATTAGGGTCTAGATACCCCCCTAAATAAACACAAAACAAAACAATTGCTGCTGCTGCTGCTGTTGCTGCTGTTGCTGCTGTTCCTGTTGGTGTTGCTGTTGCTGCTGTTCCTGTTGGTGTTGCTGTTGCTGCTGTTGCTGCTGTTGCTGCTGTTGCTGCTGTTGCGGCGCGGTCATAGAAACAGCAAGCAGCAACAGTAGCTTTAAAACAAAGCATGAAGTAATGCATGCAGACACAGAAGATGCAGCAACAGCAGCAGCAGCAGCAGCAGCAATATCAGCAAAACCAACAGCACCCCCGCACACAATAGAAGCAGCAGATGCCGCAGCAGCAGCAACAACAATCGCCCTGACGGCAGCAGCAACAGCAAGATCAATGCCAGCCACAGCAGCAACAAGAGGAGGAGGAGGATGAGCAGCAGCAGCAGCAGCAGCAGCAGCAGCAGCACGTTAGCAGCATCATACCCTTCCACAGCTCCTCTATTCCTCGCCTTGGGGGCCCTGTCCCCCTTAAGCAGGGGGCAGCGCAGCGCCGAAAGGCCTGCAGCAAAACAGACATCTTCTTGCAGCAGCAGCAGCAGCGACAGCAGTAGGTGCGACGCCAGCAGCAGCAGCACCGGGATCTGTCGTCTGCTGCAGTAGTAGTTCAAGCGAGCAGCAGCTACGACATAATGACGCTGCTGCTGCTGCTGCTACCGGTCTTGTCACTTTAACCGGTGCTGCTAATGCTGCTGCTGCTGTTCCTGCTGCTGCTGCTGCAGCTGATGCTGCTGCTGCTGCTGCTGCTGCTGCTGCTGTTGCTACAGTTGTTGTGGATTGTGTTTCCCCTGGAAGCTTGCTGCTGCAGGCTGCAGGAACCCAGTAGAAGTTCGGTTTGTTCTCTTGGCTGTTGCTGCTGCTGCTGCTGCTGGGGTGTGCTGCTGCCGCCTCTGCCGCTGCTGCTGTTGCTGCTGCAGCCGTTGCTGCTGCTGCTGCTGCTGCTGCTGCAGGGGCGTTGAAGCGCTACAGAAGTCTCTATGCTGTGAATATGGAAGAAGAGAAAATGTCTTCTTTCGTTGTTAGAGCCGAGGGCTCAGTTGCTGCTGCTGTGCTGCAGCTGCTGCTGCATGCATGCCGCTGCAGCAGCAGCAGCGGCGACAATAGGAGAAGCAAATTAAAAGTCTAATAGAAGTTAGCAGCAAATATATTTCATTGGCTTCTCCCATCAATTCACACGCATGCAGTTGCCGGTGTTGCTGCTGCGGCGGCCAGTTGCTGCTGCTGCTGCTGCTGCTGCGAAGGCTGCAGCAGCGGCTGTAGCAGCAGCAGTGTTGAACCGCCAGCAGCAGCAGCAGCAGCAACAGCCGCAGCAGCAGCAGCAGCAACAGCAGCAAGGCGAATAATGTGTAGTTTGTATTGCATGTTTTTTATATAAACTTTAATATAATTAATGAAGCCCCTTCATAACTGAAGGAGCTTGCGCAGCAACTCGGCTTGCTGCGCTCAAAGCAGCAGCAGCGGCAGCGGCTGCAGCAGCAGCAGCAGCAGCTGCTGCTGCTCATGCAGCTGGTTTTCCCTTGACCTCTGCATCTCTCGCGCTGCTGATGCTGCTGCTGCTAGAGTCTCCTTTACTTGTGCTGAGGCATGTGGGGCTGTAGCAGCAGCAGCAGCAGCCGCAGCAGCAGCAGGCTCAACACAGCCTCAAGACCGGGCCGGGGTAATACCGACGCGGAAGGTAGCAGCTTCGGCTGCTGTTGACAGCCACGCTGCAGCAGCAGCAACAGCAGCAGCAGCAGCAGCAGCGAGGCCCTCTCTGCGGCCTCTCTGGGGCCTTTTTTTGCAGCAGAGCAGGAGCAGCAAGAACAGAAGCTGCAGCAGCAGCAGCAGCAGCAGCAGCGTCAGCTGGCATACCACTCCGATACATTCTTGCAGTCGCAGCAGCGTTGTCGACAGCAACAGCAGCAACAGCAGCAGAAGCAACAGCAGCAGCAGCAACAGCAGCAGCTGCTGCTGCTGCAGCAGGCAATGGCGGCCCTACGAAGCCCCGATCCTCACTTTGAATGCAGGCCCCACCCCTGGAGGAGATGCAGCAGCAGCATCCATCAGCAGCAGCAGCAGCAGCAGCAGCAACGGCTGCCGCGCCTCTCCGACACCTTCCCCCGGTCCGTGCAGCAACAACAGCAGCAGCAACAGCAGCAACAGCAGCAACAGCAACAACAGCAGCATTGCTGCAGAGTGTCTCCTAGTATTGCTGCTCGCTGTGCGGCCTTTGAGCGTTTTTCTCGCGTGTCAGGAGCAGCAGGCAGTCGCTCTGCTGCTGCTGCTGTTGCTGCTGCTGCTTCCTCGAATGAGGCAGAAGCCGCTGCGCGAGCTGCAGCAGCAGCTGCTGCGCGAGCAGCAGCAGCAGCTGCTGCTGCTGCTGCACCTCCTGTTGCTCCTCCTTCCTCTCCGATTTTTTCCCCGCTCGCTGCTGCCCGAAGATCTCAAACTGCTGCGAGTGCTGCTGTTGCTGCTGCTGCTGCTGCTGCTGCTGCTGCCGCTGTTCTTCCCTCCTCCCCAAAGGGTGGCAGTGTGGGCTGGCGCGGCAGCTACTGCAGCAGCAGCACCAGCAGCGGCGGCAGCAGCAGCAGCAACGATAGTAACAAGGAGAATGTGCTGCTGCGGCGGAAGACAACCACCGCATGTCCTGCTGCAGCAGTTGCTGCTGCTGCTCCCGTCTTACCCAGGCTGTCTAACTCACAGAGTACCGTTGCGGTAGAGTATCGCTCCAGAACACTGCAGCAGCAGCAGCAGCAGCAGCGGCAGCAGCAGCAGCAGCAGCAACAGCGGCAGGGGCAGCAGGAGCTGCTGCTGCTGCAGCAGCAGAGGCAGCAACAGCAGCAGCAGCAGCGGCAGGGGCAGCAGGAGCTGCTGCTGCTGCTGCAGCAGCGGCAGCAACGGCAGCAACAGCAGCAGCAGCAACGGCAAGGGCAACAGGAGCTGCTGCAGCAGCAGCAGCCTGCGCAAAAACGACTGCAGCTGCAGCAGCAACAGCAACAGCAACTTGCTGCTGGGGACGCATGCAAGGTTTTGGAGGAGGGCAGCAGCAGCGGCGGCATCACGCGGCTGCTGCAAATTTCAAAGTCAGGTGAAGCAGCAGCAGCAGCAACAGCAGCAGCAGCAACAGCAGCAGCAGCAGCACCCCACGATGGGGACGCGAGGTTTAGCCCCGAAGCTGCTGAAGGCAAATTGAGAGATGCTGCTGCTGCTGCTGCTGCTGCTGCTGCTGATAGGAGCCCGGCAACCCCATCCTGCGCAGCAGAACCAGGACAGCAGAAGCAACAGCAGCAGCAGCAGCAGCAGCAGCAGCACATACAGCTGCGGTGCCGGGGTTTGAGGGATGACCGCAGCTGGCTGCAGCAGCGCCAGACTGTCCCCTGTTGTTATGCTGCAGCAAATCCAGGAGTAGAGACACGGCGTACATCAGCAGCAGCAACTGCTGCAGCAGCAGATGCAGCAGCAGCAGCAGCTGCTGCAGCGGAGCCCAGCAAAGCAGCTAAACACCACAGTCAGCCTGCTCCAGGTAGACGTACGACGCAGCCTGCTGCTGTGGTTCAAACAGCAGCAGCAGCAGCAGCAACAACAGCAGCAGCAGCAGCAACAACAGCAGCAGCAGCAGCACCAACGAGATCAAAAACAGCGCCGGTAGCTGCTGCTGCTGCAGCTGCTGCAACAGCACCAGCAACAACAACAGCAGCAGCAGCAGCAACGAGGCCAAAAACAGCACCGGTAGCTGCTGCTGCAACAGCAGAAGCTACAACTGCAGCAGCAAATACAGCAGCAACGGAATCCAAGTGGAGGCGCAGCAGAAGCTCAGCTACTGAAGCCGGTGCGGAAAGGAAGGAGCTTGCTGCTGCTGCTGCTGCTGCTGCTGCTGCTGCTTCTCCTAAGCCGCTGCTGCTCCCCAAGCTCTCGCTGTTCATCTCTGCGACAGCAGCAGCAACAGCAACAGCAGCATCAGCAAGAGCAGCAACAACACCAGCAGCAACAGCAGGAGCAGCGCCAGAAGCAGCAGCAACAGCAGCAACAGCAGCAGATACGACTGTGGGATCGAAGATGCGGCTGCCTGAAGGTGAGTGCCTGCAGCCTTTGTTGCTGCTGCTGCTTCTGTAGCTTTCACTCCTGCTGCTGCTATACTGCTGCTGCTGCTGCTGCTCTTCTGTTTAGCTTAGGTGGTTAAGATTGTTGCTGCTGGTAGTTATTTGTGCATGTGTTTGCGTTTGCTGCTGCTGCGCCACTGCAGCGACATTCGGAAGGTCGCCGGGCTGGGGCTTCAGCAGCAGCAGCAGCAGAAGCAGCAACAGCAGCAGCAGCAGCAGCAGCAAAGGCTGTCACAGCAGCGACGACAGCAGCAGGAGTATTCTTTTCTCTGAGGAGACTCCATGCAGTCCGCTGCAGCAGCACTGGCAGCAGCAGGAACGCCAGCAGCAACAGCCCCAGCAGGCACAGCAGCAACAACAGCAGCAGCAACGGCAGCAGCAGCAGCAGCAGCAGCAGCGTGCACTCAATCGCTGCACTCTGCTGCGAATCCCTGAGGCTAGATTAATGTGGACGGGGCTCGCGGCGGTGCTGCCGCTGGTGGCCCCACACTTAGTTCGAGCTGCAGATACACCCGAATCTGCTGCTGCTGCTGGTTCTGCTGCTGCTGCTGGGGGGAGGGAGGAGCTGCAGCAGCTGCTGCAGCAGCAGCTGCTTGATCTTCATCCAGCAATTCGCAACAGACAGCTCATAAGGGCTATTCTCGATGGTAAGCTTCAACAGCAGCAGCAGCAGCAGCAACAACAGCAGCAGCAGCAACAGCAGCAGCAACAGCGAGTGTTGTTGCACTGGGGCATTCTTATCCCTCTGCTGCCTTCGTGTTTATTTCGTTAATGTGTGCCGCTGCTTCTGCTGCTGCTGCTGCTGCTGTTTTTGCTGCTGCTGTTGCTGCTGCTGCAGGCCAGGTGTCTCTGTTGTCTCTGGTGCCGGTAGACGCATCGCACTTGGAGAGGGATTTGTCGCTGCTGCAGCCGCTGCAGCAGCTGCAGCTGCGGCTTCTAAATGGGTTTACCTTTAGCTGCTGCAGCGAGGCGCATGCATCACATGCTGCTTGTCTTCGTACTTTAGATCGTAGCCTCGCTCAAATGCTGGGGCAGTGGCTGCTGCGCTGTGCATGCGAAAGCAAGCAGCAGCAGCAACAGCAGCAGCAGCAGCAACAACAGCAGCAGCAGCAGCAGCAGCAGCAGGAACGGCGACAGCCGCTGCTTGAGCAGGTCCAGCAGCAAAAGCCGCTGCTGAAGCACGTTCAGCAGCAGCAGCAGCAGCAGCAGCAGCAAAAGCCTCTGCTGGAGCAGATGAAGCAGCAGCAACAGCAGAAGCGACTGCAGATGCAGCAGCAACAGCAGCAGCAGCAGCTGCGGCTGCAGGAGCAGATGCAACAACTGCAACCCCGTAGGGGTTTGCTGCAGCAATCTGCTGCAGCAGCAACAGCTCCTGCTGTTGCTGCTGCTTCAGGACCTTGTCTTAGCAAAGCTGTGAGGGGATCGCCACAGGGGACAGATATGCTGGGTGCAGATATTTCTTCCCCTACAGCGGCTGCTGCAGCTGCTGCAGCAGCAGCTGCGGCGGCGGCGGCTGCCGCTGCAGCTGCTGCGCATTCGGAAGCAGAAGCAGCAGCAGCAGCAGCTGCTGCTGCTGCTGCTATGCGGAGGGACGTCGCGAGACTCCCGAGCAGCCCCTTTAACTGGCGCCTGGGCAGCAGCAACAGCAGCATTAGCTCGGCCAGCAGCAGCAGCAGCAGCAGCAGCAGCAGCAGCAGCAGCAGCAGAAGGTTGCAGCTGGAGCCGTTGCGTCTGTGCCATGTAGAGTGTTCTGTGTTGTCTCCTGCTGCTGGCGATTCATGTTTGCCTGAAGGCCGCCTGTACAGCTTAAGTAGAGAGGAGACAGCAGCAGCAACAGGAGCAGCAGCAGCAGCAGCAGCAGCAAAAGTGCAGCAGGGAGACAGCGATGAGGGTGAGATAGGAGAAGCGCTGGAGGCCGCTACACCCGCTTTGGTGCGGCGGTTAGAGTCTTTGAAGTCTCCCTTTCGTTGCTCTGCTGCTGCTTCACCTGCTGCTGCTTCACCTGCTGCTGCTGCGCCTGCTGCTGCTGCACCTGCTGCAGCTGCAGCAGCAGCAGGGCCAAGTGCAGCTACACCTCAAAGCCCCACGTCTCCCTGCAGCAAAAGAGCGAAGCTCAAGCCGGAGCTGCACTCCGGATGTGCAGCAGAAGAGGAAGTTGCTGCGGGTCAAACTGCAGCAGCAGCAACTGCAGCAGCAGCAACAGCAGCAGCAGCCCAGCATGGGAGTGCTGCAGCCTCACAAACCATACCTCAGCAAGAGCCCCTGGGGAAGCAGCAGCAGCAGGCTGAGCTTCAGCAGCAGCAGAATGAGGCAGGCAGCAGCTGCAGCAGTAGCAGCAACAACAGCAGCAGGAGCAGATTTCCTAGCCTGTACGACTTGCCGCCGTCAGCAGACAGCGCTACAGCAGTGCAGCAGCGGGAGTTAGGGAGACAGTTTGTGCTGCAGCTGGGGGCCTTAATATTAGCTGCCAGCAGCAGCAGCAGCAGCAGCAGCAGCAAGAAGCTGCTGCTGCCGCAGCTAGAGCCCCTCAGGATAGCAGCAGACACACTCAGTGCCTACGACTTCTCCCGCTCTGCAGCTACGCAGCAGCTTTCTGCTGCTGCTGCTGGGGCAAGAGGAGCTGCAGCGGATGGAAGCAGCAGCAAAAGCAGCAACGCGAATGAGAACGGCAGCAGCAGCAAACTCTCCCTGCGGCAGCAACAGCAGCAGCAGGAGCAGCAACAGCCCTTCCCGCTGCTGCAGCGGGAAGGACTGGCGAGACGCGGCTCTGCAGCAGCAGCAAATGCACCGGGTGTATCAACAACAACAGCAGCAGCAACAACAGCAGCAACAGCAGCAACAGCAGCAACAGCAGCAGTAGCTGCAGCAACAGCAGCAAATCAGGACCTGTGGATTCGCTTGCTTTGCCGTTGCCCTGTTTCTCCTGTACAAATTTCATTCAGTCGTTCTTCTAGAAAAGCTGCTGCATCACCTCAACAGGAGCAGCAGCAGCAGGAGCAGCAGCAGCAGCAGCAGCGCCGTTTAAGCTACGGTGTGACAGAAGCCCCGCCGAGAGATAATACTGCTGCTGCTGCTTCTGCTGCTGCTGCTTCAAGTGTACAGGAAGGGTCATTCAAGAGGCTGAGGTCTTGCTTTGCAAGCAAGGGGTACAGCAGCAGCAGCAGCAGCAGCAGCAGCAGCATTGCCTCTCGGCGGCGTTCCTTTGGGGACCGGACGGTAGCTGCGATATCGCTCCAGAATGCTTCTGCTGCTGCTGCTGCTGCAGCAGCAAACGAGAGAGGAAGCAGAGCTCACTGGTGCGAATGTTTTCTTAACATAAAGCTCAGTGATGCTGCGCCGCGTGACGGTGCTTCAGCAGCAGCAGCAGGTGCTGCTGCTGCTGCAGGCGGTGCTGAAGCAAACAGTCGGTGTGCGCGGCAGCAGAAGGGAGAGGCAGCAGCAGAACGTGCTGCTGCTGCAGCGGCAGCAGCAGCAGAAGGCGTAACAACAGTTGCCAGTGGTTCAAAAGGAGGGAAGAGCGCAGCTGCTGCAGTTGCAGCAGCAGCTGCTGCTGCTGCTTACTGCAGTAGTAGTAGCAGCAGCAGCAGCAGGTGTATGTACAGGTTGCAGGTATCGAACGAAAGGCCTGAAAGCGATCGTTTGTTCTGGGTAATGCCTGCTGCAGACATGCGGCAGAGCAGCAGCAGCAGCAGCCGCAGCAGCAGCAGCAGCAGCAGCAGCAGCTGGAAGGTGCTGCAGCTGCCCCGCGCAGTGTCTCTAGAAGACTCTGTTGAGGAGTTGATGTGCAAGCAAAACTTCTTAAAAGAATTAAAAAGCAGAATACACAGCGGGGCCCTCTCCAGGTAACTTAAATACTGCTGCATGCGTGCATGCATGCGTGCATGCATGCATGCATGCGTGCATGCATCAAGTGTATGTACAGTATGCATGCATGCATGCTTCAGGTGTATGTATACAGCCTACTTGCATGCCTACATGCATGCATGCATGCATGCATTCTTCAGGTGTATGTACAGCGTAACACTGCTAACACCGCAGTTAAGGGTTTGCAGTGTGCTGCAGAGAAGGCAGCAGCAGGCAGACGTTTTCTGCTGCTCCGACCAGGGCAGCTGTTGCTGCACTTGCAGCACCGCCAACAGCAGCAGCAGCAGCAGCTGCTGCTGCTGCTGCTGCTGATCTTGAAGCAGCGCATGCATGATGCATTGAGTTTATGTAAATGTTGATAAGCATGAACATGATGCAAGCAAGCAGCAGCCTTTTGCCACATCATAGCAGCAGCAGCAGCATCTGCTGCTGCTGCTGCTGCTGCTGCTGCTGCTGGCTTTTGCATTGAAGGGGATACAGAGATTATCGTTTCGAACGATTTTTAAGTGGGGCTGAGCCTTCTCGTGTTGTTGCTGCTGCTGTTGCTGCTGCTGTTGCTGCACCTGTTACTGCTGACGTTGCTGTGGCTGCTGCTGTTGCTGCTGCTGTTGCTGCTGCTGTTGGTCTTGCTGCTGCGCGTGCTGCTTCTATGTTAGTCTGCTGCTTCACGTAGTGCTGCTATATATATATATATATACATGTATATATATGTATATATAAGAAAGAAGCAGGGAAGCACATAATAATAAAGATATTATGTCGCTATGTTCATATCCGCTTCTGCGTTTAGTCTTGGTGCTGCACATAAATAATTATATATATGTATATTTATTGTATATATAATTATATGTATACTTGTATAATATATATATATATTATATATGTATATGCTACTGCTTAAACTGTTGCTGCTGCACAAAAGAAATAAATAAACGCCGAGGAGAGTGCAAGAGGTGCAAATAAACAAAAAGCAGCAGCAAAGAAGCTGCTGCTGCTGCTGTCACTTGCTGCTGCTACTGTTTGCTGCTGCTGCTACTAAGCAGTGCATGGAGACCTGCTGCAGCAAACAGCCAACAGCTGCTGCTGCTGCTGCTAATGCATCTAAGGTGCAGCTGTTGCTGCTGCAGCTGCTGCCACAAGGAGGGGCTATTTGCTGCTGCTGCAAGCAGCACGTTGCTGCAGCAGCTGCGACGTGCTGTTGCTGCAGCCGCAGCAATGTCGCACACCTTTGCTGTGCTGCTGTTGCAGCAGCTGCTGCAACAGCAGCAATGGTGCACTCGTTTGTTGCGCCGCTGCAGCAGCAACAATGCATGCGTATGTTGGGCTGCAGCAGCAGCAGCAGCAGCAATGACGCATGCGTTTGCTGCTTGTCTTTATACTTCACTGAAATCGCTATCAAACTCCTCAAGAGCATCCTGCAGCAGAGAGGCAGCAGCAGCAAAACGCAGAGACATTCGCTGCTGCACGGAGACGCACACACCTGCTGCTACACAGAAGTTGCCGCTCTGTCTGCTGCTGCTGCTGCTGCTGCTGCTGCTGCTGCTGAGGCAGCTGTAACTCGTGCAGCCTACAAGCCTGCGAGAGACGCCATTTGGCCTATTCGTTTCTGTTGCTGCTGTTGTTTGTTTCTTTCCTGCTGCTGCTGTTTGCTGCTGCTGCTGTTTGCTGTTGCTGCTGCTGCTGTTTGTTGCCGTTGTAGAGGCTTTGGCTTACCTCTGCAGCAGCGTCTTGCTGCACTGAAGTTCTTTTGCTGTCTTGTTCTTTTCTCTTCTTGTTGGGGCTGTTAGAATGATGCTGCTGCTGCTGCCGCTGCTGCTTCTCCTGCTGCTCCTGCTGCTCCTGCTGCAGCGCAGCTCTCTTCTGCTCTTTCTGTCTCCTTCTCTTCAGCTGCTTCGGTGTAAGCGTCTCCTCGATTGCTGCAGCAGCAACAGCAACAACAACACCCACATGCAAAGCAACCTGTAGCACTGCAGCAGCAGTTTTAGTGCTGCAGCATCGCAGCAATGTTCTATGCTGCAGCAGTTGCTGCAGCTCCAGATGCAGCAGCAAGCACGTGTTGCTGCTCACCTTTCTTTTTGCGGTGTTCTGCTGCTGCTGCTTCGTCTTTAATGCCGTCAGCTGCTGCGCGTTGTCTTTCCTTTAAGAATTTCTCCCTGCAGCAGCAGCAGCAACAGCAGCAGCGGCACCCCTTAGCCTGTGCTGCAGCAGCAGCCTTGGCAGCGCAACAAGACCAACGAGCAGCAGCAGCCACCCAAACAGCAGCAGAAACAGCCCCCGCAGGAGCAGCAGCAGCTGCTGCTGCAAGCAGGATCCTCGGCAGCAGCAGGCACCGCAGCAGGTGCAGCAGCAGGTACAGCAGCAGCAACAGCAGCAGATGCAGCAGCAAGCCCTGACATACGAGAGATCTAGCAGCGGCAGCTGCTGCCTGTGCTGCTGCACTGGCAGCACTGCTACCCGTCCTATGGGCATATCCTTTAGAGACAGCCGCAGCCGCTTCACTGTCTCCCCGCTTGCTGCTGCTGCTGCACAGAGCTGCTGCAGCTTCTTTGTTGCACCGAAGGGCTGCAGCAAACGCAGCAGCAACACATATAACCCACACACAGCACAATGCACACACTGCCCAGCAGCAGCAGCAACACCAGAAGCAGCAGCATCAGCAGCAGCAACACCAGCAGCAGCCACATCATCATCAGCAGCATCAGCAGCAGCACCAATAGCAGCAGCATCAGCAACTCCAGCAACAGCAGCAATAGCAGTAGCAGCACCATCAGCAGCAGCGACAACATCAGCAGCAGCAGCAGCAGCAATAGCCGCACCACCACCACCAGCAACACCAGCAGCAGCAGCAGCAGCAGCAGCAGCAGCAGCAGCAGCAGCCAGGGGCCCTACAGCATTTTTTCTGGTGATTTGCTTCACTGAGGCCAAAATCGGCAGCAGCAACTCCGGCAGCGCCGGGTGCGCAGCAAGCTGCGCTAAGTGAGCAGCAAAGATGCAAACACCAAAGTCTAACAGAGACTCCAGCACCTGCAGCAGCAGCAGCAGCAGCAACAACAGCAGCAACAGCAGCAGCAGCAGTGGGAGTTCCAGTAGTAGAAGTAGCAGCAGAAGCAGAACCAGGCGAAGCAGCAGCAGCAGCGAAAGCAGCAGCAGCAGAAGCAGCAGCAGCGGAAGCAGAACCAGGGGGAGCAGCAGCAGCAGCAAGAGCACTAGCAGAAGCAACAGCAGCAGCAGCAAAAGCGTACGTGGATAGACATTTGCTGCGCCTGATCTATCTTGAGGCATGTCTCTGCATGTGCTGCAGCAGCTTGCTGCAGCCTCAGTGGCTCTGAGGTCGGCGTATTTGTTTTTGCTGCTTCTCTCTTCCTCTTTTTAGATTGTGCTGCAGTTGCTGCTGCTGCTGCTGGTCCCGCAGGCGCAGCAGCTATTCTGCTGCTGCGCCTGCAGACAGCAGCATGCTGCTGCAGCAGAAGCAGCAGCACGGCGAGTAGGGGTGCAGCAACAGGAACGAGAGCATCTGCTGCAGCGCCAGCTCTGGCTGTAGCTGCCAGCAAGTTAAGACAGAAGGGAGCGTGTGATAGCTGCTGCTGCTGCAGCTTCACTGCAGCAGCAGCAACAGATACTAGCGGCAGCAGCAGAGGCTTCAGACGCCCAGAGTGAAGGCTTAGGGCTTCAGCCCAGAGGCAGCAGCTCTGTACAAAGGACCAGCAGCAAAGCAATGCATGCGCTTGCTGCTGCTGATGTTTCTTCTTGTATGCTGCCTTGCTCCGAGACCCTTCCTTCTTCTTGCTGCTGCTGCTGCTGCTGTTGCTTCCTGCTGCTCCTCCTCCTCCAGAAGCAGCACCCCCAGCAGCAACCGCACTCCGCACCGTCAAAGCCAACTGAACAAAACACAAAAAAATATATCTACCTAGGGTTTAGGGTTTAGGGTTTAGGGGTTTAGACTCTATACTCATAGGGCTTTGTGTTTGTTAGAGTTTAGGGTTTAGGGTTTAGTGTTTAGGGTTTAGGGTTTAGGGTTTAGGGTTTAGGGTTTAGGGTTTAGGGTACCTCTCTGATGGATTGGTAGGCGAGTCTGTAGGCAGTAGCAGCAGCAGCAAAAGTCAGCAGCTCTTTCATTTCGTTTAGCAGCAGCTGCATGCGGTTTGCTGCTCGCCAAGTTCTGCGGGCCCCTAGACGAGCAGCAGCTCTTTGATAAGATCGCAGCACTTGCTGCAGCAGCTGCTGCTCCTTGAGCTCTGCAGCAGCAGCAGCTGCTGCTGCTGCTGAAGAGCTGGAGCCGCGAGGCCCCTTTGAAGCCCCATGAGTTGCTGCTGCGGTTGGTTGCTGCTGCTGCTGCTGCAGCAGCAACATACTGCGCAGCACTGCAAAGGCAGCAAGCTGCTGCTGTGGCTGCTTAGAGAAGGCCCAGCAGCGGCAGACAATCTGCAGCAAGCGGCGTGTTGCTGCTTCGAGCGGCAGCAACCACTGCAGCAGCTGTTTGCTGCTAAGGGCGAGCAGCAACTGCAGCACGAGGCTTTTGCTGCTAGCAGCAGCAGCATCTGCTGCTGATTGCCGCGACGTCAGCAGCAAATGAGTAACGTCCCCCCAAAAGCTCTTCAACAGAAAACGCATGCGACCGGTGGTCGCCTGAGCTGCTGCTGCTGCTGCTGCTGCGTTTGCTGCTGCTGCTGCTGCTGCTGGCTTGGAGCCGCGAGAAGAGAGGCCTGTGAACAGCAAATCTGCTTTTCTAACTACGCATAAAATTATGAAGACACAAGTGTCTGTATCGGGCAGCACAAACATGCCCCCCTTGCGCTGCTGCTGCTGCTGCCGCTGCTGCTGCTGCTGCTGCTGCTGCTGCTGCCGCAAGGCAGCCTTGTTGCGCTGCTGCAGCAGCAGCAAACCCTCCTCGTCGTCACCATACCGCTTGGCGAGCTTGAATTTGCTGCGCTCGCCTGCACTAGCTGCTGCTGCTGCTGCTGCTGCTCCAGCTGCTGTGGCTTGCTGCTGCTTCGGCGCCAGCTGCAGCACTGCAGAGTGCAGCGCCTCCAGCAGCAACTTAGCCCCTCTAAGGCTCTCCAACTGCTGCTGCTGCTGCTGCTCCTGCTTGTCTGCTGCTAGAGGGTCAAACCCCACAGCCTTACAAAGGCTTAGGAAGCGCTCCTGAGTGAGTAGCCTTTTGGTTTGCTGCTGTTCTTTTTGCTGCTGCTGCTGCTGCTGCTGCTCTGTCTCCGTCTCGTCTCCACTGTCTGCTTCTTCTGAGGCTGCCTCTTCGCCGCTGCTGCTGCCGTTCCTGCTGCTGCTGCTGCTTGCTGCATCATCTTCTCCTGCAGCAGAAGCAGATAACACGAAGTCTAAGAAGTCTTTATCCTTACTCCCCAGCTGAACCCCTAGGGCCTCCTTTAAATTGTCTGTGGGGGCCCCCGGGGGCCCCTCTGCTACACCCTCTTCATAAACGCCTGCGTCTTCGCTCTCAATATCGCTGTCGCTGCTGCAGCGCAGCTCCTCGCTGCTGTCAGCAGAAGAGACGTTGCTGCTGCTGCTGCTGTCGCTGTCGCTGCTGTCCGCTGCGGCTCTCCCTCGACCTGCTGCTGTTGCTGCTGCTGCTGCTCCTGCTGCTGCTTTCGAATCGGTAGGAAAGGCCTCCTCATCCCCGCTGCTGCTGCTGCCGCTGCTGGTGCTGCTGCTGTTGATGTCGTGCTGCTCCTCTCTCTTCTTCCCTTTGTTGTGCCTCTGCTGCTGCTGCTGCTGCTGCTTCTGCTGCGCTGCAGCACCAGGCTTTTCAACACTCCGACTTTCCTTAGGGGCCCCCAGGGGCCTCCAGGGGCCCCTACGGCTGCCTTTTATATGGGGGGCCCCTGAGGGCTTCTTCCCCTTTAAAGCAAAATGAGCTCCCCCAGCCATTGCCTTGTTGCTGCTGCTGCTGCTGCTAGTGCTGCTGCTGCTGCTAGTGCTGCTGCTGCTGCTGCTGCTGCTGCTGCTGCAGGTGGTTAGGAAGACCGCGTGGGGCCCCGGGGCCTCCCCGCCCCACAGAGGGCCTTCAAAGGAATCAAGCAGCGGTGTATAGACAGTTGAGCAATATTTTTGTCTCCTTCTAACTAAATATAAGTTTATTCATGTGCAGCCCTAAAGTCTCAACGGAAGCTGCTGCTGCTGCTGCTGCAACAGCAGCAGCAGCAGCTGCTGCTGCTACTGCTGCTGCTGTCTGGGGCCCCAGCAGCACGGGGCTGAGCCTTTTTTCTTTTTCTCTGCCTTCTCAGTAGAACCAAATAATTATCTTCAGTGTTTATTTTATTTATTTGTTGAGGGGTTTGCATATCATACAACAAAGAAGCAGCAGAGCAGCAAAGCAGCAGCAGAGCAGCAGCAGAGCAGCAGCAATACAGCAGTGAACAGGTGTAAGAAGGAGACACTAATATATATTTTGAAGTATAGCCAGCAGCAAATAATATTTATTTATACTTCCCTTCACTCATTTACAACTATAAAGGGCCTAAGAAATATTAAACACAGCAACAAAGACTAGAAGAGACAGTCCGCAGCAACAAAAAGGAGACAGTTTAATCTGCAGTGCTGCACCCGAGTGTAAAAAGCTAAAAAGATCAGAGTATAGCAGCAGCGTATGCTTGAGGTCTGTCTATGTACCCATATATATATTATATATATATATATGTATATATATATACATATATATATGCATATATATATATATACATATATATATATATACATATGTATGTATATATATACGTACATATATATATATGCAGCCACTGCATCAAAGAAAGGCTGTCTCTAATGCCTGTGTACGGTGCACAGGCAGACATTAAGAAGGTGACTTTAGAAGATAAGCTTCAAAGAAAAACTCTTCCTCAGTGTCATCGCTGAGCCTGTTTACTACGATTGTTCTCTCATTGTCTCTCGATGATCTCAATAATAATAATAATAATAATAATAATAATAATTTTATAATAAATAAGAAAGCAGACGCTCAGGAATGCAATGGGGCAAAGCATCATCTCCCAGCGAGCCCAACAGTGTTTGTCTCTTTTACTAAGAAAAGATTAGAGTCAGAGGCTAAGGTGAATTTAATATCTCCTATTGAAGTGCAGAGGTGATGCAGGAAACGACAAAGACATGCAGACGCTTCCTTCATCTTGATGCTCTTCTTAAGACAACTGTACTAAGAGAGCAATCGGAGAGACAGCCAAGGAGACAGAGGAGACAGCAATGAATCCCCTATCTGTACACCCCTGTCTTTTCTTCTTCGCATGCAAAAAATGCATGCGAAGAACAACAAACAAAGTATGGAGATCAAACTATCATTTGTTTTTAAGGATCTGCTTCCCTGAGGTATGGTCTCAGTCCGATCTGGCGAAGATAAATAATGCAGTGCTCGCAGGTAGCAGCTTTCCCTGTACACAAATTGCCGACATACTTTGAATTTATTACGCGTCGCTTTATACTGCGCTTACTATATCTACTTCATCCCTGGTTTTACCCCCATTGTCTCTTCGCTAACTCAACTACTAAAGAAGAATAAACAAATGAGTTAGACAGCAGCAGAAGGAGAAGCCGCCGGGAGACTTATCAAAGAAAACCTCAAAATCAGAACCCATAGGTAATGGAGCCACCTCCAACTCTCTAATGAGACTCACAGCGACTTTTCTTCCTGCTGTTGCAACCCTAAACCCTAAACCCTAAACCCTAAACCCTACAAACCTATTCCAGAGAGACAGGGTTCAAAAACTTTCTCCTTTCAAGAAGCTAACAGCACGGGGAAACAGCAGAACTAAAGAAGAAATTATGTACTTAAAATGAAAGAAAAAGAGTACTTTAGTTTGAAATAAGAATGAATATTTATTGTTAATAAAAGACTGTATTTATTATGACGAAGAGGGAGCAGAAGTATCTCGAGTATTTGTGAAAAGTTTTGGGTGGTCTGATGGAGAGTAAAGAACTGTTGTTACTGTTTATTTATTATACTGTTTATTTATGAGGGAAGTCCTTTGCTTTCGCTGAAGACTGTGGGGATGGTCTGCAGTCGTATCAAAAGACTTCAATTCAGAGCTCCCCAGAATGCTCCTATATCCCTTCTTACTCTTTTGGCATCCTCTTCATAGATAGCTTTTGCTTAAAAGGCATAGACAGCTCGATAAGACTAGCATACTTCGTCTTTCTTTATTGTAACGAGGCACGTAGCCGTGTGTCTCTTCCCTATTGTAAGAAAGATCCTACTCCTTCTTCGCCATTTAGGCTGGGTGGTTAGACGGAAGACAGCATATTTGCTAGAGATATTAAAAAAAGAATCAAGATATCTTTTCATATTTGTTACAGTATTGCTTCACCACTAATCATCGTTATATATCAAACCTCTCAACCGTAGGGATGAGGACTGCAGCTCAGGCCTACCCTTTGCACTTGTGCTCTTCTACCCAAGATAAGGAAAATAATTTTTGCTTAATACACCGAAATCAGATTTTAATGCATAATCTAATAACGTTGACAATATGTATACATATATATATATATATATATATATATATATATATATATATAGTGTGTATATATATATATATATATATATATATATATATA